CCATGAAGATCATGGATCAAGATATATTGGAATGGGGCACAGCCAAGATGGCAGAGTAAAAGCAGTGACTTGCTTGAGCTCTCCCCCAAACCCCTCCAAATTCCTGCAAAAAATGGCCCTAAACAAGTTCTGGAGCAGCAGAACCCACAAAAAGACAGAATGAGACAAATTTCCAGCCCAAAACAACCTGGATGATTGATTGGGAAGATCTGTTGTGGCAGGCTAGGAGAGGAGCGCAGGTCAGTGTGTGCTGTGCAGGTAAAAACAGGTCTTCAGCAAACCTGGAGCAGACCTCAGGGGACTGGATCAAGGGGAGCTGGGCCAGACTTCTAACCCACAAACACCAAAGAAAACATAGACAGTCAGTAGGAAAGGTCAACCTCTGTCAAACCTCAGTGAGAGAGGAGGTTAAGCCAGCCTCAGTCCTGGCACAGACCTGGTTTGGCAGCTGTTTCCAGAGATCTTGGCCTACAGTCGGAGGGGGGGAATTGAGTAGCTGATCAGAAGGAGATTGCAGGGATCTCCTTGCCAGTGCTGAGGCAGGATCTTCTCTTGATTTGTCCATTCTTGGTTCTGAGTTGCAGTCCTGGGTGGCGGTCTTGGGGCAATCCTTAGGAGAGCTTGGTGGAGCTTGTGGCAACCAGTGGAGAGGGAATCTTCTCACAGTTCCAAGCCAGAAAAGAGTTCTTATGGTCACTCATAGACCACAGCACAGGCCAGGAATGGAGTAAGCACCTCGCCTTTGATCATACCACTTTGGAAGAACTGAAAACTTACCGGTACCTAGAAGTATCTCTGAAAACACCTGCACAAAAACTCCTGAAGCTTGGGACAGTACATTATCCACACTGGAAGCAGGCCCCCCACATTAACAAAGACTTTAATAGTCAAGTAATTGGCTAGGAACATGAGCAAACAGCATAAAAAAAATTCAGACCATAGAATCTTACTTTGGTGATGAAGAAGATCAAAACATACAACCAGAAGAAGACAACAAAGTCTTCTTTGCCTACATCCAAAGCCTCCAAGAAAAATATGAGTAATTCCCAGGCCACAGAACAGCTCAAAAAGGATTTTGTGAAGCAAGTAAGAGTAGTAGAGGAAAAACTGGGAAAAGATATATTGGAATACCTTTTTGCATTGGTAAGGAGAATGTCAATCCCAATGAAACTATGGGTCCTTGAATACTGAAGAAATTTACTCACTTGAATTGTTGGTCTTGGATTAAACTGGTAGCATAGTTTATCATTGTTACTTAATTCAAGTCTTTAAGGATCCATTGTAAAATATTGCCTTATGTTCTTCCATTGACACAGATAACAGCTCCTTTTTGGCTTGAAAAGTGATATTTGAGTTTCTTTGATCAAGTCATTACTTTACAGCCAAACTACTGATGAGCTCTTCATAGGTCATTATAACTTATTTATGAATAAATATTGCAAAATGTTTGAAAATCCCTACTCCCTTTAGTAAATAGAAAAGAAAATTAATATGACATGGGGAACTTCAGTTACCTCACTTAACTCAAAACTTATGGATTTATTGAAGATCTAGAGATTATATTGTACTTCCTTGATGTTGATATCCAGCACATCTTCAATTTTAATGAAACATGGAAATAAATCCAGGTCAGAATTCATGGAGTGAAAAAAGCTTCCATGTGAATAATTGTTTCATTGCTAGGAGCTTTTGTAGCCTAAATTGTCAAATTCTTAGACTTTATAATGTTCCTATTGGTTAACTTGACTGCGTTCAAAGGAAGACAACTAGTTAGAAACCAACTTAATGAGCAATATGTATGGAAAGTTAACACTAAGGACAATTACAAATATTTTTATCTTGAGAAATATTAAAAACATTTGGAACAATACTTTTCATATGTGAACTATAGTTGATCAATATTTTTTTAAAGGTTCTCACAGAATAGATTCATAAGGCAGACCTGAGTGATTTAATGGTCTTAGGAAAAATGGTTTATGTAATTGTCTATCTAGGGAGAATACTGACATAAGGTTATCATGCAAACAAATTAAGCAAAATATTCTACTAGTGGAGAAGAGTGGGAGGAATAAGACACTGACTACCTATAATTAGCTAGATAATTGGCTGAAATGGGCTTGGTCCATTATATTCACTTGTTCTAATTTATTCACAGTCATTTTAATGATGTAAGTTGCAGGATCTGTGGTACTTCTGTTCCTGATTCCCTGCTCTACATCCCAGTCATAGATGACCCATAGTGAATAGCATGGACCTAATATTTAGTCCCTTTAATTTGGACATGCCACACTTTAGTGTACATTATAAAACAATGACAAAGTAGGTATGAGGTCAACATTAGCAAACTGATTGCAATTCACTAGACAAAATGATCCCTATTTCCATCATTAGGATAATTTTCAATAGGCTATTTTAGCATTTTCTTATATTTTATATAAAATAATTAGCACAAGGAAATCTTTTAACAGTTTCAGCAACAACATTTTTAAAATATGATAACTTTCTGGAAATAATACATTTTAAGGGGAGAAGAAACAAAAAGACTACAAGTGATTCTCCATTTTGGAAAGTAATGAGGATTTCAATGAAACTCACTTAACTAAAAAAAAAAAACAGATTAGTATGTGAGGAAGGAAATGGTGATACTGTCAATGACACTTCTTTCACCTGGTAGAAAAAATAGAAATTTTGAAGAAAAGCTTCATGCCACACTTTAATGACTTGGTTATAACTACTGACAACTGGTTTGGAAAATCTTTAGGAGAAAAATAATTGTCCTCACTGCCCTAACTTCTTGTTGTCCTCCAAAATCTAGACTTTCACTAAACTGAGCTATTTTGCAGTTCTGACTCCTGATCCTAAAATATTCTATTTCTGTAGAGAAAAGTAGTGGAATGCTGACTCTACTTTTGACAATAATACCATTTACTACTTGCCAATTATACCATTTTCTTAACCATTTCTATTTTGAAATGTGTCTGCTCAGGAGTGCATTTTCATACACTCTCCTTTTAGGTACTATATTTTCTGATTAATTCTTGGATGAAGTGTATTTAGAGACATTTTAGAACTTAATTCAAAAGAATCTGAATCTGAAACAGCCACTCTTCCAGTCTTTGTATCTTTGTAACCAGCTTCTTATCCATTTGCCTATATAATCTCTTAGATGTGTGCGTGCACGCGCGCACACACACACACACACACACACACACACACACACACACATATACCTACATACATATATACATATGCACGAATATATAAACATATACACCCATATATAAATATACATATAATGCATAAATATATACATGTACATATATATAAAGGCATATATGTTCCTATTCTTGTTGTATTTAGTTTTATGTCTTTACTTATTTCTTTAGGGTATATTTTGGGATAGTGAGAAAGATAATAGAAATCACCGTTGTTTAAAAAAATAGTGCTCTCATTTCCACTGCTGTAGCAATGGTCAATCAGAGTTTACTATGTTAAAATCTTTACAGTGGCATGTAAATTACTTAAGACAATCAATACTTTTGATAGGATTACATTTTGTGATAGTAATTACCTTGGGTATATACTTCTAATGACACCATACTGACTCAAGACATCTGAACATAACTATATGAAATCAAATTGCAATGGTTTCCTCACTTTTTCACTTGAGTACTAGATTTCCTGCTATGTATTGTACACACACACACACACACACACACACACACACACACACACACTTCATTGCTCTCTTTTGTTGTATTTTAAAATCTTTGGTTTTTAAATATGGATATTACTCTAAGGAAATGCACCAAAGTTATAGCCCTTAAAGTTCATAATTCAATTACTATTAGAGATATTGCAGTAATTGTGGGTTTGGGGAAATCAAGCATTTCAAGAATCATTCAAGCCTGCAATGAAACAGGATTGATTACAGCAAAAAACAAAGGAAAGTGTGTTAAAGAAGAAAAATATTAAGAATTGACAAAATATTGCTGCAATATAGCTGTGTTAATTCTTAGGAGGGAAAAGATCTTTAAAAGACCATCTTAAATTAAGTGATTGTAGAGCCCATATCAGAATGCATGCCGTCTTGGGGAGGGAAGGAGTAAGGAAAGGGGAGAAAATTTAAAACTCAAAAGCTTATGGAAGTGAATGTTGAAAACTAAAAATAATAAATAAATTTTAAAAATGAATAAAGTGATAACTATTCATTTTCTACAGTGAAGTATAGGCTTCTTAAAGTTAGAATAACAGAGAAATCAATCTAAAAAGGAAAACAGTTGTTTTGCATTATTACATAGAAAGGCTTATAATTTGCAATAAAATACCAAAGATCGAGTAGTGAACATTAGGAAAATATATTTTTTTTTCTTGATAAAACTCAATTTTTCATTTGAGGCTTTACCAAAACTATTATTCAAAGTCCTGGTGAGAATGTAAGATATCTTTATCAATCTGCAAAACATTTCCTCCTAAAAACAAGGGATTTTTTTTTAACTTTCAATGAGCTTAGAAAGTTTGCCCTCATTGAAGGAGGAGCTTATAATTATTTTTTCTTAATTTTTGAATGTTTTCTTTATTTTTTTTTTCCTTTTAGAAAGAATTTATTAGTCCATTTGGCAGAAAAGAGCCTTTTTTTTTTTTTGCTTTTTGGTGAGGCAATTGGGGTTAAGTGACCTGCCCAGGGTTACATAGCTAGTAAGTATCAAGTGGCTGAGGCCAGATTTGAACTCAGCTCCTCCTGACTCCAAGCCTAGAGCTCTATGCCCTTAGCCACCTAGCTTCCCCTGTTTTCTTTATCTTTCAATTTACCTGTATTTATCGCATTACCTTGAACTTAGTATTTTTTTTAATAAATGCTTCTTTAATGAATGAATATGCTACTGAAGAGCAGTTTTTAACAGATTGAAAACAACTACACTTATGTGTATTTTCCTTCCCACCCAGCCTACATCAAATCTCCACATGTCTAAAACGTGTTTCCTATTTTTGTATTTTAGGTTATATTCAGTTGGAGGCCGTGATGGTAGCTCTTGTTTGAGTTCCATGGAATACTATGACCCTCACACCAACAAATGGAACATGTGTGCACCAATGTGTAAAAGAAGAGGAGGAGTAGGAGTGGCCACCTGTGATGGTTTTCTTTATGCAGTAGGAGGCCATGATGCACCGGCTTCAAATCACTGTTCTCGTCTGTTAGACTATGTGGAAAGGTATGATTTAAAAAGACTGTTATATGTGGCACAAAGTGAAATGGAAAATTAATTAATGCTACTTCAGATCTGAAAAACAACAAAGTCCCAAAGTATTATTATTTCTCATGTAACCAAATATAAATATTTCACTTAAGGCCCCAGTGTACTTAGTTTAGACAAAGTTTTTTTTTAATATGCAAAATTGATTATTCATATTACCATAATCAGGTAAGGCTTTATTATTTAGTGGGACTTGAAATCTCTATGGCATAAATACTGTGACCAAAAATGATATTACATAATAATATAAAATTAATCTAAAGTATAGAATGTAGTTTTTCGTTGATTAAATTCATTTTAAAGGATTAAAGCCAAGCATTTTTAAAACAATTGTTGAACTAGTTAGATGTACATTGATTTGTTATTTTAAATTGTTTTCCTTTTTTTTTTTTTGCTTTTGATGCTGTATGTTTATATACATTGGACACTATAACTCTAAAATGTTATGGAAACTTTAAGTGTCACAGAAATGCTAGTTGTTGTTACTTTCTTTGTTCTAGTCTCCTATAGCTTTATGTAGTTCCAAGACTATTTTCCTAACAGTCAGAATTAATTATTCTGTTTGAGTGAGAACATATTATGGCTGAGTGATAGGATACTCTTCTACAGTATATATTTTTTTCCTTTTTCTCCTGAATAAATAGTTCCTTAAGAAGTTGGAAAAAGAATCACTCTAGCTGCAAGTTCATCCGTACTTCTCAGAAACCTCTTAAATTGGTGTTATCTGCGCTGTAATACAATTTTATTCCTAAAACATATGTGTCACATGAAAGTCTTAGGTTGCACACAGGAGCAAGGAGTGGTAAGTGAATGTGCATATGGGAAGGGGTTACGATCCTCTCCCTGACATGAGACCAGAGCTGTGAGTAGGGTGAGGCTACTGAGACTTTGTCCTAAGGTGTCAAAATTTAAACAGATTGTATGCCTTTGGTAAGTAGAAAGAAATGCATTTAACATCTAGTTACCAAGTATGCTTATTTATAATAGGGGAAAGCTATGAGGCAATGCATTTGTGGCTGTGCCCTGGATGAGCTCCTGCTCAGTTCTACCAAGTCCTAGTCTCTTGCCCAGAAGTGGCTTTTTCAACAGCAAACAAATATTTCCACTCATGAGAATAGTATCCTGCATTTTTTGTTCCCATAAGGCATCATTTTACAATGTCCAAGGTTTCTTCCTGTGTTTTTCCATACCTCCTTTAAACTATTTGCAGAATTTCTAGTTATGACTCTCATTGTTACTCAGAAAATAAAATTATTAGAGTTTGATGAAGCAGATTTTACTCTTTGGGCCCATGAAATCATATCTGATGGTTCTAGGAGTCTACTTTTCCTAGGAATAATGAGGACAAATTAGTCTCCATTCATTCCTACTCCATTTTTTTCTGACTGGGTGATCCAATACCAGAAAGAAAAGTAGTATTAATCTCTCACTTCACAAGGAGGATAACCAGCTTCTTTAAAAAAAGTGATGCAATTTGATTCTAACTGACCAAAGGTATGTGGATAAGCACTAGTTGAGTAGAAAATTTTACCAACCAGAAAAATCAACTAACAAATGAATTTAATCACTGAAATCTACAATCTAAAAGCAAAAAAAAAAAATCTCCTCCATGAATTTGATGTCTCCCTTCCCCAGATCTCTCCTTTTCCTCAGCTCTCAGTTTCTATCTTGTGAGCTGAGAGCCATGAAGCTAAGATATGGAAAGCAGTGCAGTCAGCTATAGAGAATTTAGATATATTACCATTGTGCCAGTATTACTGGGTTTGAAAATAAAATTCACTGTGATGACAGGCTTGCATTCCATGCCCAAATGGCTAGTCTTTCTTCTGCAAGGTTACACCTAGGCCATGAAGAAAAGTGCCCAGAATTGCCATTCCTAGGCAATGGGGTGAGATATCTCCTTTATACCCATATGCCAATTTGCTCTGGGATACACATTACATCTTCGGCATATAGGTGGCACAGTGGATACAGCACCAGGCCTGGAGTCAAGAAGACTCATTTCCTGAGTTCAAATATGGCCTCAGACAGTTACTAACTGTGTCACTCTGGGCAAGTCACTTAACCCTGCTTACCTCAGTTTCCTCATCTGTAAAGTGCACTGGAGATGGAATGGCAAACCACTCTGGTATCTTTGCCCAGAAAACCCCAAAGGAAGTCACAAAGAGATGGACAACAACAACAGACAACGTGTTATGGTGGGGAGATCTGTGGATTCAGAGTCAGAAGACCTCTAGAGGAGAGAGATCAGAATGGTAAACAACCTAGTTCATCTCTGATGAAGAGTGTTTAGTCTGAAGAAAAGGATACTTGGAGAAGAAAGGAAGGGGAATTATGTAACAGCTATTGCAAAAATCTGAAGGGCTTCCTGAAAGGAAAGTGGGGAATAGACCTTTTTTTTTTTGCCCTAGAGGGCAGACATAGGAACAAGGGGATTGAAATTGCAAAAAAAAAAGTAAAGAATATGTAAAGAAAAAAACTTTCTAAATAATTAGAGCTTTTCAAAAGTTAAATGAGAAAGTTCTCCATGATTACAGGTCTTTAACTATGAGCTAGATAACCACATATCTGGTATGTTATTGAGGGAATTTCTATTTGAAAGAAGAAAGGAAAGAAGGAAGGTAACAAATATTTATTAAATGCATGCTATGTGCCAGACACTGTATTAAGTGCTAGAGATTTAAATATATCCAAAAAGAAAGGCAGACCTTGTTCTCTGGAAGATTGTATTCTAATAATGAAACACAACACAAAAAGACAAAAGAGACGGCTGAAACATGGGAGGGGGGAGGGGGGGGAGAGAAAGAAAGTATTCTTCATGTTTTTGTTATTTACTAATTTCAGTGGTGTCTTAGTGACCCTTTTTTGGGGTGAGGGGGTTTCATGGCAGAGATACTGGAGTACTTCGTCAATTCCTTCTCCAGCTCATTTGACAGATGAAGAATTGAGGCAAACAGGGTTAAGTGACTTGCCCAGTCTCACACAACTAGTAAATGTCTGAGGGTGGATTTGAACTCATGAAGATGAACCTTCCTAATTCCAAACCCAGTGCTCTATCCACTGTGCCACCTAGCTCCCACTAGGAAATGTTTTTGAAGTCTGGAAGCCAGGAGCAGGGCCAGGAGGGGAATGAAGGCTGAAGGCTGAGAACTCACAAATGGAGTAAGTTAGCAGATGGGGATAAAAGGCCCCATTTGCTGATGACACAGCAGCAGGGCCAAGGTTTGAAAGTCTGGAAGCCAAGAATAACATGAATAATATAGGTCAGGAATAGCAAACTCCATCATATTCATATAACTTGGTGTATATGACCTGCAAGTACCTCAGAGTTCCAATGCTGAGATCTCATTTTGATCCTGAAATTTTATAATTCTGTGATTCAGTAGCATGATTCTGAATTGCAAGTTTATTATGTATTGGCTGTGTGACATTGAGTAAATCACTTAACATCTCCATGCCTCATTTTCTCATATAAAATCCTAAATTTGAACTAGGTCATTTCTAAAGTTTCTTCCTTATTCATTAACTGTGAACCTAGGCTTCTGTACACAATGAAATTAGGAAAAACAGAAAAGAGATTTGAAAAAGGAAGAATAAATTTCTCACACTCTTGTCACCCCACATATTTGAATAGTTAGTGTAAATGCTCCTAATGAAATGACACTTCGAAGACATATTTCCTGCCTAAGCTCCCCTTCTGAAATATTGAAATGTGTGGAAATGTGGAAGGAAGAGAGACAAAGAGTATAACTTTTACATCTCCTGTCACAATCATGCACGTATGAATAGTTGATGTAAATGCTGCTAATGAAATGGCAACTCACTCAATTTCACCCTGGGTTTCTCATATAAAAAAATGAAATGTGAACTGTGTGCAAAAGCATAAAGAATTTGGTTCACGAATAAATTCATGTTACAAAAATTTGCCTTGAGCAAGTTTACCTATTCTTAAGTTATAGGAACTTATGTGGGAGGAAAAGCTAGTTAAGTAATGCAGATGCACACTGCAGCATCATGATTCTTATCAGAGCTGTTAGTGCATGTCATATAAATGGAATTTTTTTTGCTCTATTTATACTACATTTCCTATATTGTTCATTTAGCATGTAAATAGTCAGTAAATCAAGATACCTAATGGATAGTAGGATAGTATAAGAGCCATTATACTATATCATTACAGTGAGTTATAGATTATAAAGTAATCAAATATAGTTTAGTGAGGTATCTTACAAAGTTTCAAAAATATTCTATAATATTGGAAATATGGAACAGATTAAATGATTCACAGGAAGAGTATAGCTAAGGTTCCCGGATTTTCTCCAGTAAGATACATTTTGAAAGAGATATGAAGTGTTTTAAAATTTATCCAAAGGATAATAAGTTAATACAATCTATCACAATAACCATAACTCACTTTTTATAGCTACTTCAGACAACCCTATGATACTGATTATGCAAACAATATTATCCCTATCTTGCAGATTAGAAAACAAAGGTTCAGAAAAGTTTAATAACTTGCTGAAGGTCATGTAGTTTAGTAAGCATCCCAGCACTGTGGCTCGAACGCATTTTCTCTGGACTTCAAGTCCAGGGCAGTATCCATTATACCAATACTCCACCTGTAAGTAGTATCACAAAACCCTAGAATCTCAGAATTGGAAAGGCTCTCAGAGGCTATTAGTCTAACCTGTACTTGTACCTGTACACAAAGCTATCACATGTCATCCTGATCAAGTAGTCATTCAGCTTTTCCTTTAAGGCTGCCCGCTAAGATGGCCTATTTAATTTTTGCATGGTTCTGATCTATAAAATATATATTTTTTTTTTCCTTACACCCAAATCGAATGTGTCTTTCTGAAATTTCCACATAGTACTCCTAATTCTGCCTTTTAGGTCAAGCAAAACAAATCTAATACATCTTCCCTGTAATAGACCTTTAAATATTCATAGATGATCAT